CAGGGCTCATTTCTTTTACTGACTCTGATTCTAGGAACCAAGAGTGTTATTTTGGCACCAGATTCAGAGTCAGGACATATATTCTCAGTTCTGGGTTTGGGGATGAAGTGTTCATTTCTCTGGCTCAGATCTCAAACATAGGCTGTAATTCTTTTCCTGGTAATGAGCCCTAGGGCCAGGATTTTACTGTCCTATCTGTGATTGATTGGTTTCACAAGTCAGTTCACCAGGGTCAGAGATGGCTCTGATTTGATCCAAACTGTGTTTCTTTCACAAGCTTTATCGGAGCCATCTTTTCCTTGTTCTGGGCTCCAGGGTCAAGGTGGGTTTCTTTAGCTAGTTTTATCGCCTACATTCCCCCCTTTTTTGTTTAGAAATAAGCCACTGGGAGTTGCAAAGGGTAATAAGCAGCTGGGATTTGGAAATGGTAATAAGGAATTAGGAGTTAGAAAGTGTAAATAAGCAGCTTGGGGCTGGAAAAGAGGGGTTATCATTATGCTCTTTCCTACTGATTTGGGGCATCAAGGTTCTTGGAACAATCTTGATCTTCCTTCTCAGGTTGTAAACAGGTTCAGCAGATCTGCCTTTGTCAATAGGAACCAGTAATCCTGTAATATTAAGTGACTCAGAGTTCAGTTAGAAATATTTTGGATCTGTTGTTGAAGAAACTTAACCAAGATGTTTATGAGGCAGTGTGCAATTAGTATGGCTAGGCAAAAGAAGAAAAGAGGGATTAAGAAAGGCAGAATCCATTTCCATATCTGACTGTTAGTGCTCCACTGTCTGGGGGCATCAAGCTGTTTTTTGTTTGAAGATTCATCTGGTGTTGTTGGATCTGATCTTTCATTATCCCTGTTTGACATAAAAGCAACACTCTTCCACAAGAAATAGACAAAGACCACCTCTTTCTGCTGTTAATAAATCTAATTCTCTCTGATTTTGTAATACTACAGTGGCCAGTGAGTTTATCAGTTCCTGAAGAGTAAGGATGGTCTGAACTTCTCACTGGAAATCTTGGATGAATTATGAGGAAAGCTGATGGTAAATATCTAGGGGAGTAGTCAGTCCTGCTATTCCAGTGGCTATGCCTGCACTTATGCCCAGGGCTGATAGAAAGAGTATTATTTGAATGGCTCATTTGTCATGCCTTGATGCTATGAACTTGATGGTGGGAATTGGCAAGGGCTCTTTACCAGGTACCACCTCTAATTTACAAAACAGTAATACCAGGGTACAAGTCCCAGACCACTTAGCAGGTAAACAGTGATAAACATGAGTACCACAGAGAATAGAGGCATTGTGAATGTTTGAACATAGGGGCTGGGTGTTAGTACCAAAGGTAATAGTATTATTGCAGTCTGCAGAATCCAGAGTACACAAAAACGTATTCCTGAGGACTTAGAGCACTCTGTAATGCAAAAGAGAGGAATGCAAGAGAGATAAGTGGTAGTAGAGACATTTGGCTTGAAGCAATTATCAAATGTTAAGGTGAGAGTATCTAATAGAATAATGGGTGAGGCCACAAATGGTGAATGAGTGTTTGACCCTGGAGGGACACATAACCAACATTCTCCAAAGCTGTCAGGCTGAGCATCATTGTGCAATTGATATACGGTAGTTAGGATCCAAAAAAAGAGATAGTGTGTCAAGGAGTTTGAATAAGCATCCTCAAATAGGGCTGACATTTGGGATGTGAGAGGGTTTGAGGAACTTTGAACCACTTCTACTGTTTCTATTCCTAGGGGTTGAGAAAGCAGCATGTATACCCTCTGTATTTTGATTGTTAACAATGGCGTCTACTATGGGATATCTCAGCAAGGATCTTCTGTTCATCTCCCCATGGCTCAATCCACTACGTGACATCCCAGCATAGTTTTTCTGTGTACCAGTGAATGAAGATCTTCACATTCAAAATTCTTTTGAGATTTATTTGAGAAGGAAGATTCCAGGAGAGTATCTGCCTCTATCAGAATGGAAAGAACAGCTCACAACTGACCAGGCAGGGTGGTTTATATAGGAAATCCTGGGGACAGAGTCAACCTGTGATTGGTTAGTTTTGTTTTTTTTTTTCTTGCCCAGGGATTGGCCAGTTATGTGGGCTAGGGACAGAGATGGCCCTGATTTCAGGGCCAAACTGTATTTTTTTCCACTGGCCTTTCTTGGCTTTTTGACACTAGCTCTAAGATCAGGGCTCATTTCTTTTACTGACTCTGATTCTAGGGACCAAGAGTGTTATTTTGGCACTAGATTCAGAGTCAGGGCCTATTTGTTTGGTTCATTTTTCTGGCTAAGGTCCCAAACATAGGCTGTGTTTCTTTCCCTGGTCCTGGGTCCTAGTGCAAAAATTCTACTGTCCTGCTCTCTGATTGGTTGGTTTCAAAAGTCAGTTTACCAGGGGCAGAGATGGCTCCGATTTGAACCAAACAGTGTTTCTTTCACTGACCATATCTGAGCCATCTTTTGGTAGTTCTGGGCTCCAGGATCAGGGTGGGTTTCTTTAGCCAACCCTATTCCCCTACAGTTATGACAAAACAACAGTCAATGATAGTACATCATCTACCCTTAGAATTGTACTCAAGAGACTGACACATAAGGATAATGAATTCTAACGTATCCCTGGCTAAAGACTGACATTCAAGCCAGGCTAGATAACAAACATTTCAAGCACATTTGTGAATATTAAATATTAAACATACAACCATGAATATAAAATATTAAAAAAACAACCATGAACAAAAATCCATCACCCTTTCACAGACATCCTTACTTGAAAGTGTGATCACATACTGCCTGAGAGTTAAATAAAAATGAACCACTTAGATGATAGCCATCACATTCTATACAAGGCAGCAGATAAATACCTCTGAATAAGTGAAAGTGCAAAAGAATATGAACAAATGCCACAGAAGGAATATAAGGACCACAAAGTAAACTTTACTAATTGAATTTAGCACACATATCCCACACTTCAATATCTTTCTCACATGTTGCAAAATAGAAGCCACACCTCTGAATAAGTGAAAGTGCAAAAGAAGATGAAAAACACCACAGAAGGAATATAAGGACCACAAAATAAACTTTACTAATTAAATTTTCCACACATACCCCCACACTTCAATAACTTTCTCACATGTTGCAAAATAGAAGCCACAATGGGATCTTCACATCAGTCTTTGGTGAACCTGGTTATTAATTTATTTACTTCAAATCTACAATGAAAAAGACTGAAAACAAGGTTTTTTTCCTTGAAATTGAAAACAACTGTGATGTCTAAAGTCTTAACCAAATTGTTTACATAAATGGGGTTTTCTTTCATATGAGTACATATCTATTTCCTGACATGAAGATGATATAAAAAGCTTTAAAATATTGACAGGGATAGAGACATGGCAAAGACTTTAACCCAAGTTCATTCCCTGGACCAAGATCATGTTTTGGATGACTTCCAGTAATTCTTGCAATAAGAAGCTCCAATGGTATAACCTTCTGGGGAACTAAAATGCACGTACATGTACCCAGAGGAAGACACTCACACATAGCATAATTAAAATAAAAACAAATATTTAAACTAATTTTCAATCATGAATGTTTTCTATTATAATTCTGGTAACATGGGTTTTGAAGCATCTAAATGATTACAGAAATTTTCTCCATAATGACTTGGTCCATTTAAGAAAAAATAAGCATGCAGTCTTGAAGTTGGAGGAATCTATCATTTTCAGTCAGTGACATCATTTGAGAAGATTTAGGAAAGGTACCGTGCTGGAAGAATTCTGTTGTTAGGGTTGTCCTGAGCATTTATATCAGCACACCATTTCTAATTTACACTTTCTGCTTTATACTGCAGGGCAAGAATGTGAATTCTTAGCTTCCTGCTTTAGCTGTCATGTCTGACACTTGTTTCCATGCTCCTTTTATGGGGTACTTGTACTGCTCTGGAACCAAGGGCCAAATTAAAACCTTTTCTAAGTTCACTTAGATATGGTCTATTATCAAAGCAACAGAAAAGCAATGATACACATCTGTGAAAATTTACACCAGAATTCATTATTTCATGTATTTGAAGAGAAGTATGAAATCTAAACGGGTTACATTATCATTTAACTTTATAGGTCTTTTGTCCATATTTTTTTTAGAGCTGAGGATCGAACCCAGGGACTTGTGCCTGCTAGGCAAGTGCTCCACCACTGAGCTGCATCCCTAATCCCTCTTTTGTCCATATTATTTGACAGGTGTAAATGAAATAAAGAGATATTATAATGCTTGAACATATTATTGACACATTTTAATTTTTTTCCAAAATAATTAATCTTGTGTAATTGAATGTAAGTATATTGGAAGAAGATCATACCAATTCATATATATTCAGATTTCCTTTGATGTGAGTTCTTTTAAGATCCTCAAAGTCTAATGTATATTCAAAGGCTTTAAGATACCAATTACACACTAAAATTTTACAGTTACAGGTTTGCTCTGTGTTGTGACTAGGCATTACCACATTGATTATATTCATAGGATTTCTCCCCAATATGTTTTCTTTAATACACTTCAAGATGACTGGGCTGTACAAAGGCATTACCACACTGTTTATATTCATAAGGTTTCCCTCAATTATGAATTCTTTCATGCAATTGAAGAGCACTATGACAAACAAAGGCTTTCCCACACTGATTACATTCATAGGGTTTCTCTCCAGTATGTGTTCTTTCATGCCTTTGAAGAACAGTGTTTTGGGTAAAGGCTTTACCACACTGATTACATTTATAGGGCATCTCTCCTGTATGTGTACTTCTATGTACTTGAAGGTTATGGGGCTGAGCAAAAGGCTCTATCACATTGATTAAATTCATAGGGTTTCTCTCCAGTAGGTGTTCTTTTATGCCTTTGAAGATCACTATAACATGCAAAAGCTTTGCCACATTGTTTTCATTCATAGGGCTTTTCTCCTTTATGTGTTCTTTCATGCAATTGAAGAGCATTGTGATGAATATAGGCTTTACCACACTGATTACATTAATAGGGTTTCTCTCCAGTATGTTTTCTTTTATGTACTTGAAGATGACTGGACTGTGCAAAGGTTTTACCACATTGTTTACATTCATAGGGTTTCTCTCCAGTATGTGTTCTTTCATGCCTTTGAAGAGTATTGTTTTGAGCAAAGGCTTTACCACACTGATTACATTCATATGGTTTCTCTCCAGTATGTGTTCTTTCATGCAATCGAAGAACACTATTACAAGCAAAGGCCTTCCCACACTGATGACATTCATAGGGTTTCTCTCCAGTATGTGTTCTTTTATGTACTTGAAGATTGTGGGGCTGTGTAAAGGCTTTACCACATTGATTACATTCATAGGGTTTCTCTCCAGTATGTGTCCTTTTATGTACTTGAAGATGACTGGACTGTACAAAAGCTTTACCACATTGTTTACATTCATAGGGTTTTTCTCCTGTGTGTGTCCTTTCATGCAATTGAAGAGCACTGTGTCGTGCAAAGGCTTTACCACACTGATTACATTCATAGTGTTTCTCTCCAGTATGTGTTCTTTTATGTACTTGAAGATGACTGGGCTGTGTAAAGGTTTTATCACATTGATTACATTCATAGGGTTTCTCTCCCAGATGTGTTATTTTATGCAATTGAAGAACTTTCCAATGAGCAAAGTCTTTTGCACATTCATTATATCCATAAGGTTTTTTAACAGTATGTGTAGTTTCATGCCTTTGAAGATGATTGTGTTGTGTAAATGTTTTACCACATTGATAATATTCATTGGATTTCTCTCCAGTATGTGTTTTTTCATGCCTTTGAGGAAGACTACATGCAAAGGCTTTATCACTCTCAGTATATTCATGTGATTTCTTTCTAGTATGACTTTTTTCATGCCTGCAAGAATAATTGAAAAATTTAAAATCTTTACCACATTCATTACATTGTTGAGTCTTTATATTTGCATGAATTAATTTTACAATTGGTCTAAATATATACAGAACTGAGATCTTAACGTTTTAGCATATTGTTTACACTCAAGTTGTTCCCCTGCATTAAGGATGGCTTTGCATATTTGAACATGCCTGTCATGATAAGAGCCTTTATGACCTGGCTCATGTTTATGGCATCATTTTTCTCTGAGATTTTTCACATATTTGAAGAGAACTGGGAGAATTTGGACATTTACCTCACTTATTCCATTGATAAATTTTCCTATACTGTGAGTCATGCTACATGTTCAAATTTAACCAGGACAAACAGCAGCATGTACAGAGACAGTCCTAGTACCCAAAGGGCTTTTCTGTGGTGTATTTGTTGATCTATTCTTAATGAACCTGGAAAACCAATTGTTTATAAACTTGAATCACATTCAACAAGTTTACTCAACATGGGACTACTACATATCTTCTATGCTCTGAAATTGAGAGATGGACATTGTTTCTTCCCATATCTTTATGTTCATAGAACTGGTATCCAGAGTGATATATGATACAACTATTAAAGAAAGAATAAAAATAAGAACATTTCCACATTTCATTTACAGTTGGACTTTCTGTTCCTCATCAATATGTGGTTTAGGGAATAATGTTTCTCTACAATGATTCCCCTCTCCCCTTAACTCTTGACTCTATCTACCCATTTAACTTAAATTAGAAAAGACAGAACACCTATATGAGTAAATATTCTATGGACTATTTGCTTATTACAAGGTTGTGTATATATTCTTATCACATATTCAATGAGTATATCTTTTGTAATATGAAAACTATGAAACTTAATGGATGGTCAGTTGTACAGCATAGCTTTGATGAAGCTATTATTCAAATGGTGATTTCTGCTAAGGCATTGTTCTTTTCTTCCTTCTTAAAAGAATGACTTGCAAACATAATTCACTTAACTACCATTGAGGTACATGTGTTTATGAGCATTTAATTATCATAGATGCACTTTAAACTGTGATTATTTACACTGTTTCATTTCACTAAAGCTTCCAGATAAATTATATGTATCTACAGGCCCATTTCTATCAGCTTTTACATGAAAATTACCTTCCATGTTTTTGAGAACTTTGACAATGTTCTTCAACTTCAAGATCATCCCAATTGTAGCCTAAAATAAAGGACAAGAAAAATGTATGAAATATTACAGGAAACTGAAAAATTAACATTACTATCTTCTGTGATCCTTAGAAACAAATCTGATTTATTCATTTCATTCTTCCTCATTCTCAATCAGAATTGCAGAAGAGCATCAATAACCAAGAAACAGTTGTACCCTTATTTAAAATGTGAAGGAAAATTTATAGTATTACCTATAGCTATGAGGTTCATATAGGTCTCCACCATCACTTCTTTGTAAAGATTCTTCTGTGAAGGATCCATCAATGCCCACTCTTCCTGAGTGATGTCGATATGCACATCATTATAGGTCACTGCATTCTAAAATATGTCATACATAAATATGCCATCCATGTGAATAAAACAAAAGGCATGATACATCATTGTAAACGTATGCTTCTTTGACAAATAGCCACATAATTCTGGTGACTGCTACACATATTCTATAACTCAGACATTACTGTGAAGTCATCAAGTTACTTCACAAAGAAACTGAATAGGAGATTTACATCTATTATTTCTGAAATGCTTTGAATTGAATATCATCATGCAAGAGAAATGTCTATTAACAGAGATAGAGAAACAAGCAAACACTTCAACAGTACTGAGCACACATTAGAGAAATTACATGAACCATTACTAACTACAAAGAAGATTTGTAAGCTGGGTTTAATGACTCATGCCTTTAATCCCAGAACTTGGAAGGTAGAGGAAGTTTTGTGTGCTTCTGAGTTGAAAGTTAGCCTAGTCTATGTAGTCAGTTATAGGACAGCAAGAAGTAAATATTAAAGACCCATCTGTACTGTAAACTTCCAACAAATAAATAAAAAGATAAGATGAACTCAGAGATTGTTTTACTGAAGTTCCTACAAAGAGTTAAGCATTCACTCTAGTTCTGTATTCATCTTCCAGAAATTTGAATTACTCCAGTTTAAACTGTACTTTAATAAATCTTACTAAAAGGAACTGTGCATTTAAGCAGTTACAAATAGAAAGATGATAATATTAGAAATATCAATTTTGTTCATAAATAATCAATACAGGGAAGAAGAAAAGGCTCAGAAGTTAAGAGCTCTTACTGTTCTTGTATATAGAGGGGTTCAGTTGCCAGTACTTATAAGGGGAATCACACAACTGTTCATTATTCCAAGCTTGTGGGTTCTAAGACTCTCTTGGGTCTACTGTGAGGACCAGGCGTTCATGTGGTGGATATCCGTTTACACAGAAAAACAAATCATATTCATTAATAAACATCAAAACAAATACAACAAGAAAAAGAATGCCACACACTTGTAATCTAATGACTCAGAAGGCCCAGGCACTATTACTGTCATGAATACTACATTCTAGAAGTGAATGATATCCTTGGCAAATTTCAACATTCAAGATGGTGGGTAAAGCTCAGCAAAACAACATATGCTTGACATGTACAAAAACATATACTCTAGGCCTATCACACAAAATATGTATAAAAAAATCCTTGGATGTTGGCCAATCTTTAATCTCAGTATGTGGAGAAAGAGTCAGGTGAATCTCTGAGTTGGCGGCCAACCTTGTCTACAGAGCTACATTTAGAATAGTCAGGGCTACTCAGACAAAGTTTGTCTTCAGGAACAAAAATAAAAACTACAGAATTAAAAAAATCAGGGTAGCAAAAATGGCTTAGCATTGAATATCAGTTCCTTTAGTTGTATCTTATCTGATTTAGTGACACTATATATACTGGTGGTGAAGTTATGACAGCACAAGAAGGAAGCTCCGTGATTCATTTCAACTGCAACTTAGTAGAAACAGAAAAGGAAATGGGTTGAGGCTATCACAACCACCAATGAGATATTTCATCCAGAGAGATTCCTCATACTAAAGGTTCCAATGGCAACCCAAAGAAAGTCATCAAGGAGAGACACATGTTCACATTCCTCATCCTATCTGGGAACTTTTCATTCAGTTGATTAGATCCTGACCCAGGTCACTATAGCCTCAGGGTCATCCATAAAAAAAGAGCATTTAGTCACTTCAATGATGCTCATAGTCTGCAAAAGCCCCTACACTGTTCAAATACCCAAAATCTCTTTCAACACTCATAACCAATTCTTGACTGTGTCATTTTATAAAAACAAAGAACACGTTAAATCTTTCCAACATACAAATGGCACAGAAAACCCATTCTCATTTCAAAGAGGAATTGAGACATAGTGAGGGAAGACAAAGAGAAGACTGAAACCCAGCAGGACAACAATCAAATCTAGTTCTGTGTCAGACACATGCTTCAGTTTCAAAGGGCTTAGATTTCTACGTCCCCAGAACTTGCCATTCATCTCTCTCTTTGCAGCTAGTTCTCCATGAAAGATGTCTCATAGCTTAAGTAGCAAACCTCTTATGGTCTCAAACTACAATCAAGATGATAGAAGTCCTTAAAAAGAAAATGAATAAGTCTCAAGTAAATTTATGAAAGCACAAATAAAGTGTTGGAGTAAACAAACAACCTAAATAAAGCCAATAAAAAATAAACAAATAGTTGAAGGAAACAAATAAAACTGTTTAAGACCTCAAATGGAAATAGAAACAGTAAAGAAAACAGAAACTGAGGCTATTCCAGAAATGAAAAATACAGGACCAAAAATAGGAAATACAGAGGCAAGTTTCACCAATAAAATAGAGAAATGGAAGAAAGAATATCAGGCACTAAAGATACAATAGAAAAAATGGACACATCAGTCAAAGAAAATGTTCGATATAAAACTTTCTTGACACAAAACAACCAGGTAATCTGGGACATCATGTTTCAGGGACTATGTGGGTCCAGCTCCTCAATAGTCTTATCCCAGGGTCCAGGAAGAATCTATAGCCAGTGGGTAACTTAATCTTTGATGACAGGAAATGAATCTATGTATACAAAACTTTTCATTCCATACACTTTGTTCTTCTGAGTCAATTTTTGTCTGTACTGCTTCTATTCTGCTCTCTCATCTAGCATCTTTCTGGCCTGATTTATATCTACATTTATGTGCTGTCACCTCTAAATTCTATCTTAATTCTCTCATCTAACTTCTGCCCCATCCAGGTTCTCATTCACCTAGTTCTTTTATATATTAGCTCCTTTCCCATCTCTTTCATCTTGTTCTTCCCCAACTGGTTCTTCCTCACCTTCCATCTTATTCCTCTATTACTCCTTTCTAGCCCTTCAATCCAGTTCTTTCACATTTCAGTTCATTCCTCTCCAGTTCTTAAACATCTAGTTCTTCTATTCTCTGTTCTCTTCTCTGTCTCATCCCACTCTGGAAATAAAACTGTCCTTTTATCCCTTTGACCCTTGTCTCTCCAAGATATTGCTGCTCCTGCTGTTTCTGACAAGTGTGCTCAGACACTAGACAACTTGGCTTGGCAACTTCCATCACAGCTAGATGTCCCTTAAGTAGGAAACCTTCAGTTCTGAGTTAATTGTGAAGGGTGGATCTAAAACTAGATCCACTAAAACTTAGAAAGGAGAAAGTTAAACTTAATCAGCACATCCACCTGGTCTCCTCAAACAGATACTCTGGATGCTTAAGTCTGTTCTTAGAAAGTACAGAGCTATCCTGATAAGATGCTTTTGTGCTTCTGGGGATGGTCCTGGCTGGATTCTGCTAATGATGATAATGACAGAGGGCCTAAAATTCAGGATGCTGGCTAAATTGCTGCACAGAAAGTTATCTAAATATTCCTTTAGTAGAGAGAAAATTGTACCTAGTGAATAGTGAAAAAACTGCAAGAGCACATGATAAATTCATAGCAGGAAACAGCTAATAATAAAAGACAATATTAACAAGACTCCTTGAGCCTCAGCCTGATCTTGTTCCAGGTATTAGCCTGACATAATCAGCTGAAATCCTGCCTCATATATTTTGAAGGCTTGCAGCAATTATGCCAAGATCAAACCTATGAATGATAAAAATAGAGGAAAGAGATAAAACCCAGCTCCAATGTTCTCTAAATACTTTTTTTTTTAATTTTTTTTTTGGTTTTTTTCGAGACAGGGTTTCTCTGTGTAGCTTTGCGCCTCTCCTGGAACTCACTTGGTAGCCCAGGCTGGCCTCGAACTCACAGAGATCCGCCTGGCTCTGCCTCCCGAGTGCTGGGATTAAAGGCGTGCGCCACCACCGCCCGGCCGTGCGCCACCACCGCCCGGCTCTAAATACTTTTAATAAAATTGTCTTAAAATTTTTTTTCCTAATTTAAAGAAGGTGTTGATGAAGGTATAAAGAAGCATTCAAAACACCAAATAGATTGGGCCAGAAGAAAAAGTCCACTTGTCACATAATATAACCAAATCACTAATCATACAGAACAAAGAAAAAATTTTAAAAGCTGAAAAAAAAAAAAACCAAAAACGAGTAGCCTATAAAGGAAGACCTATGAGAATTACACCTCCCTTGTCAGTGGAGATTCTAAAATTCCTAAGGCCTTAGACACATGTAATGCAGGCTCTAAGTAACCACAGAAGCCATCCCAGATTACTATATCTAGAAAATTTTCAATCATTGTAAATGAAGAAAGTAAGATATTTCATAATAAAGTCAAATTTAAACAACATCTTTGTACAAATCCAGCCTTACAGGAGGTTTTTAGAAGAAAATACCCAACCTAAGGAAGATAACTACACACATGAAAACACAGTAAATAAATAATATCACATAAGCAAAATCAAAAGAAGAGAAACACACAACATTAACACAAACACAAACTAACATACTCTCATACACATACCATCATCATCATAAGTAACAACAACAAAAACAACCAATTAAAAGGTATAAATAATAATTATTCCTGATATCTCTCAATATCTAATGGCTCAGTTCCTCAGTGAAGACACAGATTAACAGTATAGATTCACAAACAATCCATCCTTCCACTGCATAAAAGAAACACTTCAGCATCAAAGATGGATTACTAAAAGGTAAAGGCTGGGAAAAAAAACATATTTAAAGAAATTGAAACTAAAGAACAGGCTAGTGTACCCATTTATTATGTACCAAAATAGACTTCACACAAAAATTCATCAAAAGCGGTGTGGATAAATACTCCTTAGTCATCAAATATGACATTTCAACTATTAATATCTATGCCCCAAACACAAGGTGACCCACTTTTGTTAAAGAAATACTTCTACAAATTAAATGACACATTGACTCTCACACAGTTTTTGATAGTGGTAGACTACAATACCCACCCTTACCAATGGACAGATCATCCAGACAAAAACCAAATGGAGAAATATTGGAGATTATAGATTTTATAAACCAAATGAATCTTACATACTACAGAACATTCTACCCAAA